TGTGTACATTCCAAAGCACAAGTCTCTAGTACTTGAAATGCGTTTTTTACAAATTGGGAGCGAAGGGGGCGTGGTATCCAAAATCTGTAAATTACAAAATCTTTGAATCTATTAACTTTATATACAACGCAAATTTGAAGACAACAGTTCTAAAAATGTTCAAATTAGGCTAAAAAAAAAAAAAAAAAAAACAAAATCAAATTTCCGATTATTCTCGAAAAAAAAGTTATCGGACGATTTATCGAAAAAATAAAGCAAACTTGTACTGCGTATGGTACACATGAGTATGCATGCCAAATTTCAGCTCTCTAGCTCTTATAACTTTTGAGATCGACGCACTCATACGGACGGACGGACGGACGGACGGACGGACGGACGGACGGACAGGGATATATCGACTCAGCTCGTCGCGCTGATCAAGAATATATATACTTTGTGGGGTCTGCCACGCCTCCTTCTGCCCGTTACATACTTTTTCACAAAACCATTATACCCTGATTTCCCATTTTCAATGGGTTCAGGGTATAAAAATGACACCTCAAAAGTCTTCGTACAGTTTAAGTTTGTTGCGTACAGCGCGCAGTGGTCGGTACAGTATGAAATTAGCGGCCAAAAATGTTTCCACTGACTATATCAAAGTGAAATTTTTATATTAGCTTTATAAAATTATAATAAGTAGTAAACAATTGTAATAATTAATTTTTAGAAAGTGTCTTTTTTTTATATATATATTTATTAAAGCATCAAAACTAAATAGAAAAATATAATAGTTTAATAATAATTAATTTTATTATGAAATTACAAAAATAGTAAATAAAAGAATAATGAATTAAGCCAAAAAAAAATTATTGCGGACTATTCGAGTAAATCAAACACTGATTTTTGGTAAAAATTAATTTTTTTTTGCTTGGTAATTTTTTTTGACCAGAAATCAGAGGATCAGAGGTCAAAAGCAATCTATTTATTAAGTCCTGATTTGTGGCTACCCGTGAAATTGTCCTTGTATGGTTTAGTCGATACTTCTTAACGTCCTTATTTCTTGCCTCAGCAGCTTCGTCTGAGAGCTCTCCAATAGATACTAATGCGTGCTCAATAATATCTGGCGCATGAATTAAAATTTTGTGAACCGAGGGAGGAATATAGTACCAGGAATATTTAGTTGTTAGCTCTCGAGCAGTAGCTAGAGCCAATTCTCGAAATTTTTCTACATTAATTTTATAACCTGATGATAAGGTTTGTAGTAAAATTGCACAATTTTCAATAAGGTGTTTTTCTATGCCAGTTATTTCAGCAGACACTTGGGCTTCATTGAAAAATCTTCTTGCAGTGTTCCCATCATTTGAGGATCCACTTCCACCTGTTCTTGGTTTGTCGACAATTAAACCCATTTTGTTACGAAATTCACACTGAATAATTTGTTTCCTACGTAGAAATTGTTTATTTTCTGCGCCCCTTACTTGCCACTGTTTTATTTCGAGTCTATATGAAACGTGAAGCATATATTCAAAAAATCGAATGTAGGCATGTAATGGAGACAATCCAAATTCGTAGCGATGTGTTTAAACTTGTTTTTGTAAGCAGTTGTCGATATCATTCATCTCTGTCGGCTTAGCTAGGCATATGTAGCATTTTGCAGATGAGGTTTCAGTAAGGGCATTGCACACTTTGCCATCTACCATAGTTAGCATAAGAATGTGATCGACAACAAATTTGCGGTTGGTAACTGTTTGGAATTCAGTAGGAGCCAGTTCGTGAATTTTATTTTTAATGTAAAGTTCTTCATTTTGTGTTAGAAGAACTGATTCCTCTTGAAATTGAATCCGTACAGGGCGGCAATAGCGGGTGGCGGAAGGTCGAGGGTTTTTCCAAATTATTTTGTGCTCCTCATCATCCTTTGATTTGGTAATTAATTGAAAAGGGACATATGATCAGTGTTGCCAGGTTTTGAGACATAAAAATAGCAAAATCGTCTCTAAAAAATAGCTGAAAATAGCTAAACAAATTTTAAAATAGCTTACAAAATAGCTGAAACCTTTATGCATTATGCATTTACTTTAAATTTTATTTTTAAATGTTATTTAATAATGTTACAATTTGGTCCACATCCAAATCATCATCAGAATTATATTTTTGATTAACTGGAATCATTTTTAAATATTTGGAAGGCACGGTATAATCATGGCAGCATTTGCTATTGCTGCGCAAGAAGAATTAGCGATGGTATAAATTCACAACTAGTGATGGTATAAGTACGACAAAGTCGTGGTGGTAGTATCGCGCAGATCATTACGTACAATTTGGGACTTAATCGAAAAATGTTTTTTTTTTTTTTTGCTTTAAATACTAAAATCAAATTCAAAATATTCGTTTGTAAAATAGCTAAATTTATAGCTAATAGCATTTTCAAAATTTTCATAGCATTTAGGGTTCAAAAATAGCTAAAAATGCTATTAAATAGCTAATCTGGCAACACTGCATATGATGTGATAAACAAATTGCTGTCTTCTGCATTATTATTTTCGAATGTTTGTTCATATTCGCTCTGCACAGAGCTGCCATCAAAGCCCCATTTTCCTATTAGTTTAAGATTATTTGAGCAATCACTGAGTTCATTAATAACCTCACTCTGCAATTCTAAAATCCGAGATGCAGTGTGGTCCAATAATTTTTGCAATTCAGCTTCAGCAACAGATTCTGAAACTGTTATTTCCTCCGGATAGCGTTTCTGTTTTTCCTTCAAAATACTATCATAACAGGGAAAGAATATCCAGTTTATTATTAACAAAGCTTCTAATAAGCAGATACTGATGTTTTGTTAAATTTGCATTAGTTATAAGTGATATTGCTTACGCGTCTTTGCAGGAAAGATCGTGTAAAGTAGTAAATTACGGATGCTGGGATAGACTCAGTCTACCCAGGGTGTACTCACAAGAAATTTATTTTTATGTAATAGTGAGACACCAGGGGGGGGGAATATTTAACGTTATTGGTCGGGAAATGGGAGAGGGGGGAAATCTAATATGGGGACCGCCACTCACGTGTACCTTTTCTTCTCCAGTGTCTTCTCACCCCTTTTCTTTTGCCTCGTCGCCGTCAAACTTTGCTCCAGTTGCCGTTTAATTTAATAAAAGTTGCCAATCCGTTCTCCAGTTTCTTTCCTTTTTATTTGAGATGCCGCTTAATCTAACCGCGTTTCACAATTCAATTTCGCGCTTAACCACTTGACTATTGCTCGCTCACCACTCGACTAATCGTTTCTTTTCTGCGCTCGCCCAAAGCGCTCGGCGTCGGCGACGCAACTCTCCGCTCACAACTCTCCACGCAGGGTTGCGCCGCCGATCGCCGATAAATTGTCAGCGCTTTGGGCGGCATTTTCAAATATCAATTCAATTCTCTGTGTACCAAATATCAACTTCTGCTTAACCTACTTGTTTAACTATTAATTATAAATCTAAGAACTATTAATTATCAATTCAAAACCAATACTACTTACTTTACTAACTTAATTTCTACTTGCTAAATCTAAACCCTAATTAAGCCTACTTAATTTATTAATTTAACTCTACATCTTAGCGAATACAAAACAAACTAAACATTTCATCAATTCTGATACCAACTGAACATTTCATTAATTCAAATTCGTAAATAAACACTTCTTCAATTCTCTTACAAACTAGATATTTCATCGGCTCAAACTCAAAATAAACATTAAACATTTCTTCATTCTCTTATGATCGTGAGGCGGTAACTGGGGCGCCGCCTCACACCCCCCCCTTACTTAATCAAGGAGACGACCACGGCTCCTGTGGCCGCCACCGTGACATTATAGGCTCCGGCGTCCGACGTCACTTTGAAGCGCGTGCGGCGATGTCGGCGACTGCAAACCTCCGCTTCCCTCCTCACCAGCTCTACTACTTCTTCGGCTAGAACCGTGCCCTCCGGGCGCACTGTCCAGTCCCGCGGGATGGACACGAAGCCCTCTCGTCCCGCACTATCCTCTGCTCTTGACTGGGACGCCTCGTCTGCTTGCCATCCATCGAGGACATCATCTAGCTCCCTCCGATGGCTCGACCCCGCCAGACGGGGATCATCTAGTTTCCGCCATTTTGGCCGCGGCTCGGCGTCGCTTGCTGGTCGTCTCCGTCGGTCTGCCCTGCCACTGCTCGACGCTCCATCGGCGTTCGGGGATCTGGCATCTCGATCCCGGCGGCCTGCACCCGACTGTCGGCTCGTGCGCTCCGGACGATAGACCGGCTGGGCCAATCCACGCCTGTTCTCGACAGCCCCCGGAACATAGCGAAACGCGACCCGCGCGGAGTCGCGGCGTCGGTTATCGCCCCGGTCGTCCTCTAATCGGCGTCGTGGAGTCGGCATCGGCTCCGCCTCCTCTCGTCGCTCGCCCCTCCTCGTCCAAAGCTTTTCTGGCTCTCCGGCTTCCGCTCGCGACGCCACCCTCGAGGCAGGATTTGGGGCGGAGGGACAGTGCTCCCTGCCGCCTCCTACCTCGCGTGGCGGGAGCTGGTCGGGGACCTCTTCCGCGTAGCTCTCCTCTTCGCGTTCATCTGCAGCCCACGGTATCGGGCTGGCCCAACACTCTAACTCCTCGTCTGTTGAGATACTGCGGCCCTCCACCTGGGACGGAGTCGGCGAAGTGGGAGTAGACGCCGGCTCTTCCACGTGCGGTGGAGTCCGCTGCACTCCAGGCGCTGGTACATATATTGTGGTGAAACTTCCCTTCAGCACCATAATTGTGTCCTCCAAAGCCACCGATAAATCAATCGTGGAGTGATGGATGGAAGGGACAGGACCGGTGCGTGGCTGCCTCTCCCACGACGACCCTTGAGGAAATGCCTCCTCCCATTCCTCGTCACTACTGACAGTGATCACGTCGTCTTCCATTTCGCTTATCTGTGGGAATTAGAACATTAATATTCACTCTCTCTCGGGTCTCTTCTTGACCAAAACAGTTAATGCGTTAGTGTGAGATTAGTGAGGTTTTTTCAAAGAGGTGGTAGAGGGGATAGCGGGGTTTCATGCAATGGAGTCTCTTTCATTCGAGCGGCGTGCCAATGCTCGATGGCCCTGTAGGGGCCCTCGAACTTGGGCGCCAATTTCGCCTCGAAGCCCTCCGCTGCGCTGGACAGCTGGTGCTGCCGCAGCAGAACCATCGACCCTAGCGCGGGTCTCCACTCTCGTCGGCGCAGATTGTAATACCTGCCTTGGTCCTTCGACGCCTTTTGCAAATTATTACGGGCCACTTCGAAGATTTGTTTCATCGTCTCTTTCCTTGTCTCTAAGTCGACTTCCCTCGTTGCCGACCCGGGAGTGACCTCGTCGTAAAGGGTAGACGGGAGGCGAGGCTCTCTACCCATCATCAGGAACGCAGGCGTGAATCCAGTAGAATCCGCGACACTAGAGTTGATCGCTAACGATATCTCTGGTAGCAGCACATCCCACGAACTCTGATGTCCCTCGATGTACTGGGCTATCATCGTTTTTACGGACGGACAGACGGACAGGGCTATATCGACTCAGCTCGTCGTCCTGATTAAGAATATATATACTGGGGTCTGCCACGCCTCCTTCTGCCTGTTACATTCTTTTAACAAAACCATTATACCCTGATTTCCCATTTTCAATGGGTTCAGGGTATAAAAATAAAGGTTTTCCCATTGCAAAAAATGTTTGTTGTTTATTTTATTTAAAAAAATTAATAATATTTCAGCCCAACATAAAACTAGAACAATATGCATTCGTATTCAATTCCATATTCCAATATACTATACTTAAAGTCTTAAAATTAATTAAATGCTTAAAATTCATTTTGTAACATTTTCTTAAAATAAAATAATAAAGGAACTTCTTTGTTCAGTCTTGTTAGTTTCTCTTAAGATCAGAATATTACATTTAATTATATTTACTAGCCTTCTTCGTCAGAGCAGCTTAAATTAAATTTGTTGAAATCTTTACATAACATTTGTTCATTGGGCTTAAAATGATTGCACCCATTTTCGCGCAATGATTGTTTTACATGTAATATATGTGATACATTTACATTTTTAAAGCGGTTTCGATTTTTCGTTTTGATTAAATTAATTTGAGAGAATACGCGTTCACACGACGCATTAGAAACGGGCAAAATTAACATAGATTGAGCAAATTTCGAAATATTCGAATATTTATAGCTATTATTTATATCTTTTAACTGACTCAATTCGTACCAAAATGTATCGCAATTGAGATTTTTAGTCAAAAGCATTTTAACCATGTCGTCAGTTTTCATTGTTCGATACTCATTGTCAATTATTTGTGGATCATTGACAAAATCGGGAAAGCGTTCATACAGCTTGAACAACGATTGACAAGCATTCGATTCATTAAGACTTAAAGTGTGACCAAACCGAAAATACCATATTGTTGAGTATCTATTAGACCTTGGTACAAAACCAAGACTAGGTAATTGTATTTGCGTTTGATTGTAAGCCTCTAGTACAGAACCAGTGACTACGGGCGTCGCAACAAGTACTTGAACCAGTTGGACAACGGAGATGAGTATCAAATAGTGAAAGACGAGACTCGTTGCTCTATTTTCAAGTGCTATTTTCTTACTAATTTATTTTATGAACGTAATGGCCTTATATACTATTTTTAGGTGGTAGGTATCAATACAAGATAGTGATTATGGAATTTTACTTAGTCAATAAACCTAAATAAATATATAAAAGGTTTTATTACGGTCAGAAAAGGCTATCTTATAACAGATAACCCAATACTTATACCTAGCGATAATGATGGGTTATTTGCTAATTGTCTGGTACTGCAGATAACCATTCTACCTACTATCTTAATTTGTTTAGGATGAGTTATGTAGATTGTTGATTGTAGATTGAACACAAAACTCAGACATACTCCCGGCCGTTAAACGATGGTTTAACTATCAGATACGTTGATCCGGAAGGCATCTTGTCCAATTGCTGGGGCCGATATACCGTCTTGTGTCCAGGGTGTTCTGAGCCGTTTCGCCTTTTGGTTAGCCGAGGGATCATTTTGTGATATGTCTTCGAGTGGATGTTTGTGTTGTGGCTCATCGATGGCTAGTAGTGGCGCCAATTTGTGTATAGGTCGTTTGAAGGTGCCATGTGCTGTCTTCACATCGACCACTCGTATATGGTTGTCGGGGCCGGTGTATACTCTTTGAATTCTTCCCATAGGCCATTGTCGACATGGTACATTGTCCTCTTTGATGAGCACCAACATTCCTTCTGATACGTTTGCCGTTGATCTCGTCCATTTTGTACGTTGCTGAAGTTCGTGGAGGTATTCCTGTGACCATCGAGTCCAGAACGTATGCTTCAGATGTTGAATTAACTCTAATCTTTGTCCAAGCGACCTTCCGTCTCCCCTTTCTGCGTCATGGGCTTGTGCTGTTAGCGGTTCTCCAATCAGAAAGTGTCCAGGTGTTAGTGCAGCAAGATCATTTGGATCGGTTGACATAGTAGTTATTGGCCGAGAGTTAAGTATTGCCTCTATCTCAATGACAACGGTTTCAAGCTCATCATACGATAATGAGGCGGTCGATACATTTTTCAATAGTAAGTGTTTTGCTGACTTAACTGCTGCTCAGTCTTGTTGTATCACTCAACGCGAGAGGTCGTACCTTAATCTGAGTCATCCGATTATCTTTTCACTTCTTCGTTTAAAACGTACGGTACTTTAAGCTAAAAATAGCGCGTGCTTATCTGTTTCTTGCATAGCAACAACCAAAAACAATCATTAAACGTCGTAATTTGTCATTTGGCGGTGCTACTGCACCTGCCAACGGTAAAATGCCTCGCACGAAAGATAAAACTTCGCCGCGTAAACACACTGAAAACTATTTTTCAAACTATTTTCGTCCACTGCAGACTCTTGAAAACGAAAATATCAATGAAAATATCAATGAACCAGAGCCTGAGGCTAGTGTAAAATTACCACCAATCACAGTCATCAAACAAACAGTGCAGTTTGTCCATAATTTGCTTTCAAAAAACAAAATCAGCGATTATTATGTCAAATCTATTTCAATTGGGCATAAAATATACGTAAAATCTGAATCTGACTTTAACCTGCTATGCATTAAGCTAAAGGAAAACAGTTGTGAATTTTTCTCTTACGAGACAAGAGATACTAAGCCATTCAAGGCAGTTCTCTCTGGACTAGACAAGCAGTCCAATGATGAAGTAAAAACCATGCTCTTGAATCTTGGTCTCAGCTGCACTGATGTTAAGTTAATTGAAAAAACTACAAGAAACGGTTATAAACTGATATTGTATGTTGTTTACTTCTCTCCAAAGAGTATAACTATAAGACAGTTAAGGAATGATTATCCACACATAAACCACACTAAAGTACGTTGGGAGTATAAAACCAAAACCCACAATAAATTGACGCAATGCTACAATTGCCAACTATATGATCATGGTGCTAATCAATGCGCAATTAAGACATCCTGCGCTCACTGTGCTGGCCATCATCTAACGACCGTCTGCCCTGACAAGACTGCAACAAAGTGTGCAAACTGCAAAGGAAACCACCCGTCTACAGATGTTAACTGCCCTTGCCGGCTCTCCTACCAGTCGCTATTACAAAAGCGTTCCAAATATAACAAAAGCAACTCAAACCAAAACAATTATGCTCCCCCATCAACGCCTAGGGCTGCTGCTGTATCCAACACCATCCAGAGTGTGCCCCAAACTACATCTCTGAGCTATAGCCAAGTCGTCACAAATGGTACAAACAACTCCACCAACCATGATCTTTTCACATTTGAGGAAATTACTACTCTTACTAGGGAATTGATAAACAAACTTAGTCTTTGTAAAACTAAAAGCGATCAATTTAATATTATTACTGAAATAGCTCTTAAATATGTGTACAAATAGTCAACCAAACGCTCTTAATATCATGGCATGGAACTCACGTGCCGTTTTCAATAAACGTCTAGAACTTATTAACTTTTTGAACAATTTACAAATCAATAATACTTCCAATGTTAATGTACGGATCTGAAATATGGAACTGCTCGGCAGTAACTCATTTGAAAAAACTCCAAGTTGCCCAAAATAAAATTTTAAAAATGATCCTCAACCTACCACGATATCACAGAACCACATCTCTACATAAAATAGCTGATATTAAAATGATTGATGAGCACATCAGTCACTCTAAAACCAAATTTACAATTAAAAAATCTCAGATAGCTCAGGTGTTGAGCTAATAGGGCCTTTTCCTTACTATTTATATATAGTTAATGCCTTAAGTGCCTTCTTTTGTAGTTTTAAGATTGTACCTAAGTTGCATTTAAAGGTTTTTTGTTTTCCTCCATTTTCCTTTATATTCTAAATTTATTAACAACTTATTTCTAACCATGTAAATAAAATATCTCAGCTGATCAGACATAAATTTAGTCTAAACTCTGTAAATAAAACAATAGGCTAGCTCTAAGCTAATATAATATTATGGAAATAAAGCAATGAAAAATAGAAATAGAAAATAGACTGAACTGCTGCTTCCCAGAGCCCGCCAAAGTGTGGTGCTCGAGGAGGAATAAAATGGAATTTTACATTTGTTTTGTGGCATTCAGCTAATATCCTGTCTTTTGCCTTGTCACTGTAGATTGCGTCTTCTAGCTCTTTCAATTTGTGGTTGGCGCCCACAAAGTTTGTAGCATTGTCGCAGTGTAGTGTTTGGCAATTTCCACGGCGTCCCATAAATCGTTTTAAGGCCGCAATGAATTTGTCAGTGGTTAAATCACTTACTGTTTCCATATGGATGGCCTTAGTCGCAAAACAACAGAATATCGCGATGTAAGCCTTGTCTGGGCGCTTTCCTCGCACTTTATGATGAATCCAGAATGGGCCACAGTAATCGACCCCAGCATTTTTAAATGGTCTTGCTGGGCTGACGCGTAGTTCCGGTAGATTGCCCATTAATTGTTGAAACATCTTTGGTTTTGCTCGAGTACATCGGACGCAGTTTTGAGTAATGCTCCGTGCTAATGTTTTCCCTTTAAGTATCCAGTAATTTTGCCTTGACCTTGCAAGTAGTGCTTGTGGTCCACAGTGCATGTTGTATGGTAACAATATAGGATGTTTTTCATCAAATGATAGAGCTGATTTTTCGATCCTACCGCCCACTCGTATGATGTTGTCCTTGTCTAGAAACGGTGTCATAGGTTTGAGGTTGCTTTTGCTGTCTACTACGCCATGTTTTGTGCGGTTCGTCAACTCCTCAGGGAAGTCTACCTGTTGAATCTTACGTAATATAACAATCCTGGCACGTTCCAACTCCTCATGTGTGAGTGTATTACCATTTTTGTTTGGGTGTCGTAGCCGCATTATATATGCTATAATGCGTTATAGTCTTCGGAAGGAATTATTGTGATTGATGGAATAGATTACATCACATGTTTTTGCGACAGGAGCTGCTACAGCCCTTGGGTTTCCCTTTCGTC